TCGTGGCCAGTGTTTATGTACAGTGCCCAGGCCAGGTGCATTCTTCAGAGGAACACGGGACGCCGACCCAGGTGACAGCCTGGGCCATCACCCAGGGAGACGCCCAGGCCGGTGTGCTCTTCCCCGGGAGGAGAGTGCGGAGAGTGCCACCACACTGCACCGTGGACACCACAGGCCTTGCTGCGCCCGAGGGTGTCTGAGGCCACTCTCTGCCCGGGCACCGACTCTGGCGCTGTGCTAGACCTTGGGGAGTGCGTGAGGGCTGCGCCCAGGCTGCGGAGTGGACGTGTCAGCGGGGCGCGTGGGGAACCGAGAACCCGGGCACTGGAGCAGATGCAGCTGCCTGTCCTGGGGACCGGCCGATGGCCATGTGCACAGGGTCTGGGATGCGGGGTCCCTGGGGCCTGGGGAAGGGGCTGCTGTGGGCGGGTGGCTCCCTGGGAGCTGCAGAGCTGGTTCCCAGCCATGGGGAGACGGCACAGGGCTGGACCACGGAGGGAAGGGGGGCTCCACACCAGACCCTGAACCCTCAGGGTTTGCACTGGGAAGCAGGGGCCACAGGCAGGATGAGGCAAGGCCACTGTGTCAGTGTTGTAGGGGAGCGGCAGAGGCAGGGGCGTGAGTCCAGTGCGAGTCTGCCCACTGGAAATCAAAGCTGGCCTGAGGAACAGCCCGCTGTGGGCATCTGGTGCACAGGCCTGGAGGGCAAGTGTGGGCCCACTCGTCTGCAGCACAGGAAAGGAGCCCACGGAGGGCCGAGTGCTGCAGGGGAGGTGGCAGTAATCAGCTGGCATCTGGGCTGAACCAGAAAATCTAGACCTGGGTGAACTGTGAGCACAAAGGAGGGCCAGCGAATTGGGTCGTGATGGCAGTGAAACTGTGTGTGACGGCAGCCTTGCAGGCCACAGGAGGGGCAGGGCTGGGGTACTGACATGGACATCCTGGATGTCGTGCTGCTCTTGTCGTCACAAGCTCCAGAGGTGAGCCTTGCCCCTGTGAAGTGGCAGAGCTCTGAGTGAGCCTTTGTAATGACGAATCTGGGTGGAGGAAGCCCTGCATGTGAGGTGGGAGCTGAGTCTTCAGGAATGAGAGGAGGGACAAGGACAGGGAAGGACAGTGAGCCTGGAAGGAAAAGGCCCTGGGGTGGGGGCAGCCAAGGGCGGCAGCGTGCCCAGCCTTGTCGCCAGTGGGCGGGGAAGGGGCTGTGCTGGGGCAGCAGGGACCAGCCGGCTGCAGTGTTGCTGAGGGGCGAGGAGGAGGAACAGGAAGACAGCGTGGTCCTCGGAGCCACCGCTGCCTGCGGGTGCCTCTGAGGGGTCAGGAAGCTGCGTCTCTTTTTGTGGCTGTGTGGCCAGCGCGTGGCATCCCTGCCCTGGGCAGTGGTGTGGCGGGGCAGTTCCGTGTCCCCGGTCACTTTCAGCAGGGTCCTCATGGGTTGCCTGGGGTCTGGTCACGGGCGGACGCTGGCCCTGGTCCCCACTGTCTTCGGGCATTTCCTGTGCCTGTGCCCCTCTCCTAGACCCCGGCCCTCCGAGGCAGAGAGACAGGACAGTCTCTGGGGTGGCTTGAGGGCTGCCGAGAGACAGCCCTGGGTGAGACAGGCCGGTCACTGTCACCCAGCTCTGTTGGGCACGCAGATGCAGAGCCCATGCCTGTAATCCCCGCAGCTTGGTAGGGTGAGGCAGGAGGAGCAATTTAGCAAGACCCTGTCTCAAAATTTAAAAGGGGGGAGCCAGGGATGTAGCTCAGCGTGAGAGCCCTGGGTTCAGTCCCCAGTACTGTAATCCGTGGACAGATAGATAAATAGATGATAGGTAGGTAGGTAGATAGGCAGGCAGAGCTGCAGCCTGGCCAGAGGTCCTGTCGGTGACCAGCTGCCCCGCGCTGCAGTACTTCCTTCCCCACCACTCCTTCTCAAAGCCCCCACAGCCACCTGCGTTCAGAGCCCTCCCTCTCCTCCAGGGGAGCTCTTGTGGCTCTGCCTGCCAGGACCCACATCTGCGGCCTCGTCAGAGTCCCGAGTGACCCTGAGGATGGCCGTGTCATCTCCCAGACTTTGTTTGAATCCCAGAGATGTGGATTTCCTCCTCTGTGCAGTTCCCAGCGACAGCTCAACCTGAGCCCCCCGGACAGTCAGTTCTAACCCTGTGCCCATGAGTCCTTCCACGGCAGCAGCCCAAGTGTCTCCGGGTGAGGATGCTGCCCAGGTCAGCCTGGCACCTAGCAGAGAGACAGCCCGGGCGTAACTGCCCGGCCCACGGAGACCTTCTCGGTAGCCGATCACCCACAGAGGCATAACGACAGTCACACTCTTCAGCTTTTAAGTTATAAAAGCAGCGCATGCTTCTTATGAAACGTGGTGAAATACATATTTGCGTAACGTGAAAGTGTCCATGTCCTATACCAGTGTTAACTTTTGGCACGGAGCCTTTTTACACATCTGTGTGTACATGTACGTATGCATGAGGTGCGATTGAAAAATACAGTGACTGTTTAAATGAAGAAACGTATTCCAGTAAAAGACAGGTCACTGTCACTCCCCTCAGGACACTCCCCTCACTTTGAGCACACCTACCCCATGGTCCGTGCCCCTTCCTGCAGCAGCTCTGGAGTCCTCTTTCCTGAGGGTCTTTGCCTGCACTGTCCTGGTTGCCCCCAGGTCCTGAATAGATTCAAAATGTTTCTCTTCCCTGGTCATTTTGACTTTGGGGAAGAGCCAGAAATTGAGTGGTGTCAGATCCGGTGACTAAGGTGGGCGAGGGCTCAGCATCATGTTTTTACAAACTGACTTCCCATTGGATGGCGCTTGGCTGCAGCGGTCACTGCATTTTTGATCACACTTCTTGAAGACACTCAGGAAAGAGGATTCCAGAGCTGCTGCAGACAGTGGCGGGAACCAAGGGATGAGTGTGTTTGAGAGGGGGAGGGGAGTCTGGGGAAATCAACGGCAATGTGTCTTTTACTGTAATGATTTTTAAAAATGTAAACATTCAGCATGTATTTTGAGCTTACCTTATACCCGTATCTGTATTTGTATGTGCAGACAGAGACAGACAGTGATATATTTGCTGATCTACATAAATTTTATTACTTTGGATGGAAGGGTACCCGTAATTGATCTATACATTGAGGATTTTTTTTTTTTGAGACAAAGTCTCACTATTCCAGGCTGGCCTTGAACTCACAGCAGTTCTCCTGCCTTGGCCTCCTGAGTGCATTGACTCTTGCTTTTGTGTCTTAGCAGTGCATGGTAAGTTTTCTGGCTCCATCAGTGTGTGTCCCATCGGTGCAGACGGGAGGGCAGCTCAGGGGGAGGTGTGGCCCCCTGTTGGAGAGGCCCTGTTGGGGTGCACCCTGAGGAGCAGAGCTGGGTGGAGCTGGTGCCCCTAGCCAGGGTGTGCACAGTTGCTCGAGGTTGGGGTGAGTTCCAGCCCTCTCCCGCCCCTTCCCCCTGCCAGTTCCTGGGTTGAGGTCCTGGCGTGACTCCCGATAGCCGTCTTCTGTGAAGCGAGTCCTCGGCACACGCGGTGTCCCTGGGAAGTTTTTAGCTTCCAGGTTTAATTTCAGACACAGGGCTGATCACCAAAGACAAAGCCCTGTGTGCCCAGCGTGCGTGTGGAAATTCGCTTCCGCAGGTGGAAAGGGGAGAGGGGAAGTGTTTGAAAGAGCCATTTTCTCAGGTGTTATTTAGATATTACTAAGATGGATTCAGTCCCACCTCCCCCTGCGCCCGTCCAACGCCGGCTCCCCGGTGTAGGTGGTCACGCGAAGGCCACCCAGGGATGGCTGGGGGCAGCCGGGGGCCTGAGCCCTGGTCCACCCGCCAGCCCTCGAGAGTAGCAGGGCTGGTGTCCAGGCTGGAGGGGAAGCTTCACCTGGCAGACGGCCCTGAGGCAGCCACGTTGCTCTAAGGGATTTGGCTTCCTCATCTACACTGTCCAGCCCGGCAGTCTTGCATCTGTTAGCAAATCCGCCTGAGTGGCTGCAGAGCGAGGCCTGGTGCGGGCAGTGGGATTTGCTCGGTTAGGTGTTTCTTGCTGGCATCCAGCTGAGCAGCAGCTTCTGGGGCAGGCAGTGCCCTGTGTGCAGCGCTGGGTCCCATTGATTCACCCAGCAGACAGTGGGCGTGCAGGTGACAGGCGGGGGGCTGCGTCCTAGGGAATGTGGGAGACTGGATGGCCGGGGACCACCGACCGTGACCGGAGAGGGGCACACTGTGGGCGTGCGGCTCAGGACGGCTGTCACCTTGAGGGCTCTCCCCTGCTGGAGGCTCCCTGTGGCCTCAGGTGACACATCGTGGGCTCCACAGGTCTGTGCGGATCTCTTCTCTACCCCTACAAGGCAGCCCCGTCCTGGGCTACAGAGCGTCTCTGGGCTGGGTGCGGCTCCCTGCCCCTTCTCCTCCGTTCCCTGAGTAACTTCGTGGGTCCCAGCTTCTCCCGTGACCTCTGGTGCTGCGGTGAGGAGGCAGCCACTCCGCTGGCCCCTGTGGAGTCCTTCTGCTGCCCTTGGCTGAGGTCTCGCTCACGCAGGTGGACCCGTGTCCTGGCAGCCTCCCCTCAGTGTGCGCCTTCCGGCCACGCCCTCAACACAGCAACCTCCGCCCTCCTCAGCTCCGAGGCTCCGCGGCACCTTCATCAGCCCCATGCAGACCTCGGCCTTGGGGCTCTGTGCGGCCCGGCCTCCTCACTGCACTCCTCCGGGCCACCTGGCTCAGGGTCGGTGCCCACCAGGTGCTGACTGCACATGCCTGCTTGGAGCTCAAGTGTGTGCGTGCGTGCACCCCCCCAAGCGCCCCTTCTTGACCTGTGTGACCACCTGAGTTCCGATGGGCTCCGAGTGCAGTGTCACCTCCTGTCCCATGATCGCAGCATGGCAGGAAGTCAGGGCCTGAGTGCTGCCCTGGGGACTGGGGAGACCTCTCGAGCTGTTTCTCTCTGCAGGTGGCATCCGTGTCCAGTGCTGAGGACTCAGGCCTTGTCCTCTGCTCTTCCTTTCAGAAAGTATTATGAGGGAGGCCGAGGACTGCAGGCCCCGGACAGAGACGTGGCCCTGGGACTAGAGACCACTTCTGGGAGGATGCTGGGCGTCTGCAGGGGGAGGCGGAAGTTCCTGGCAGCCTCGCTCACCCTGCTGTGCATCCCGGCCCTCACCTGGATTTACCTGTTCGCTGGGAGCCTGGAAGGTAAGGATGGCCTGGGGCAGCGGGCAGGGGGCTGGTCCCAGGGAGTGACCCGCCTGGGGCACACGTTCTGGGGCAGTCAGCACTTCGAGAGGACAGAGAGGCGGCCGACGGGCGCGCAGGGTGGTGGCATGTGGCCAGGCAGGTCACAGTGTCCTTAACTGGAGGAGGCGGAGCCTGGCAGGGTCGCCCACCAGGTGTCCTGCTCGCGGCTCCCCCTGGGGTTAACGTGTTTGCACATCCACATCTTGAACCTATAGAGGAGCACGCAGATCGGAGGCCGTGGTCTCCTGGAGGACAGGCGGGACTCAGGACAGCCGTGTGCTGGTGTGCGCTGAGGTGGAGGAGGGCCCGGCCTGGGGAGAGTCCGGGTGGCAGCGGCAGGGCACGTGTCTTCCCCACCAGCAGCTGCAGAGTGGCGCTTTGCGCAGTGAATGTGGGCCCTGTCTCCGGGGCGGGAGGGCCAGGTTGACGCTCCTGCTGCTGTTTCTTCAGCCCACACTTGGATGGAAAAAATAGTGAAAGTTGGTCTCAAGGAAGTCACTGCTGTGGTTTTCAACGTTTGCTTTATGCATGACTTTGCTGGCAGCTCGAGGCTACCTTTTATTTTTTATTTTATTTATTTATTTACTTTTCGGTACTGGGATCGAACTCGGGTCCTTGTGCTTGGGAGGCAGGCAGGGGAACCACTGAGCTACATCCCCGGCCCAAGGCTCCCTTTTAATTCGGGGTTGGGCTTGGCTTTTGAGGTCTGCCTTGGGGTGGGGGACGGAGGCAAACAGTGGAGCTGAGCTCCTGCGTGGCAGGGCAGGGCGGCCTTACCCCCTTGAGCCTTCCTCTGCCCAGCTACGTGCACTAAGTCAGTGACAGCAAAGCTTGCAGAGTCGAGCGCCCCAACTGCAACCCAGAGCCCAATTATTTATTGCACAGCGCCAACACTGCAATTAAAGCCGAATACTGAGGTTTTAGTTTAGGAAAAACAGCTCTACATTAACATCTTGTGCCTTGAAAGAAAAACCCAGTAACAGTATGTCAGAAGGTCGCCACCCCTGCGCTGTGTGGTGCCAGGGAGAGGCTTGTGACGCTGCAGAGGCATCTGAGCCAGAGGGAGGGCAGGGCTTGACTCCGACAGTGGAGCAGGCTGGATGCAGGGAGAGGCTGGGGCCCCAGGTTTCGGAGGAAGACACGGAGCCCCCGGCAGTGCAACCACGCCAGGGTGATGGTGGTGAGAATGCTGGCAACGATGGTCATGCAATGCTGACAGCGCCGGCAGCTGGCATCAGAGCATTTCCGGGGCCGGCCCTGTCCTCGTGGCCCTGTGCAGTAGGGACAGCGTTACCCTGCCTCCCAGCCAGCGGCCAGACCCCGTGCTCCCATGCTGCAGTGCTGCCAGCCCAGTGTTAGATCAGACCGGGGCTTTCAGGGGTGCTGCCTAACCTTCCCGCAAGGGAGTTGTGAGATTTTCATTTGTGCTCAGCAGAGGCCTCCCAGAATGATGTTGGCAGGAAGGGAATCTGGTGGTTGGTGTAATTTGTATGAAGACAGTCGGGCTTCAGGCGGGGCTGAATCCGGGTGCCCATGGGCATTACTGTGGTCAGGTCTTTTGTTCTGCTTCTCTCTGCCGTGGTTTCCCTCTGGGTTGCTTTTCCAACATGACAGTGAGGTTGACGCTTCCACCACCCCAGCGGAGGAGGGCGGCTGCTTCTCCCCATGCCCGGGTTGCCTGTGGCTCCTGCTTGTGGGTACTCAGGCTGGTGAGGCGCTGTGCTCACCACTGTGCCTGGCTCCACTGGCCTTCGCGGAGCTGCCCACCTTTGGGTCCTGTAGTCACTGGGGCTCGAGCGGCTCTGCCTAGTGCCCGCTCTGGGTCACCCCTCTCTTGGCCACCGTGGGCCTCACTGAGGACAGGGTCCTTTCTGCCTGCGGCAGGGCTTCTGCGGGTGTGGAGTCCGGGGCTGGAAGAAGATGCTGCCTGGCCGGGGGCAAACTGTTGGCACGCATGTGGCGCTGAGATGACTCAGATCCTCAGTGCTGCAGAAGCCCCATGGCCTGGCGGGTGCGGGGGAGGCGGGCGCATCCCTGGACACCTCGTGTTGAGTGCACCCAGTGCCAGGTGTCCGGGCCAGGGCGGTGAGCGAGCGGAGGGTGTGGGCTGAGCTGATTCCAGCCGTGCTGAGCTTTGTCATCGGTGAGTCCTTGGTCACTGTTCATTTGGTTTCAGCAACCAAACTGCTGCTGAAGTGAACCAGACCAAGAGTCACCACAGCGCATCTCCACAGAGAGCAAAGGTCCCGACCTGCGGCCCTGCAGGAGCTCTGAGAGGCAGCTTCTCCTTTGGCGCTTCTCGGGGTCTTGGGGCGGCAGGGTGTGCTTCACCCAGCACAGCTTTCCGTGCACTGGCCAGTCCCCACCCCAGCACGTTGCGGGGGGTTTGTGACCTCGGCCTGGTGGGGCCGGAGTGGACAGTCTGCTGAGGTCTGGCATCCCCAGGGCGGGGCTCTGAGGCTGCTGTGAGGCAGTGAAGCGGATGTCCCTCCTGCTCGTGGCCCGGAGTCCATGAAGAAGGACGCGTGGCTGTAGGAACACAGATGCTAAGTGCAAGGCAAAGTGGAAAGTGTGCCATAAAGCTGCGCTGATTCTCTTTCTAATGGATCCCAGCTGCAGAGCTTTCCCAGCCTGTGCTTCACGGCTGTTCGCGCTGAGCTGGAGCGGAGCCGCCGGAGGGCTGGGCTGTGACGGCAGGGACAGTGGGCTGCAGCTGTCTGCGCCCTCACCTGCTGAGCAGAGCCGCCCGAGGGTCCCGCCTTCGGGGCGGTGGAGACCTCGGGGTTCTGCAGGCTGTGAGGTGGCGATCAAGAGGAGCCCTGCCTCCTGCGCGCCCACAGCGTCTTAGGGGTGACAGCACCTCCGCGGGTGCCTGTCCTGGAGGCGCCTCCGACTGGGGCTCCAAGCTCCTGGTCTGAACCCCGCTACGGACCTTGCACCCCGCCCGATTCACTCACCGCCAGCGGTGTTCTGGGAATCTTAAATGGAAAGTTGTGGCCGCAAACCTGCGGAGTGTCAGGTTGCCCTCTGTCCTGCCTGGCGTGGTGGCATGTGGCTCTGACGAGCTGTCCCATCCAGCGTGCCACCTGGCCTGCCCGACCCTGCTCAGCGGCAGCCCGGTCACCAGCCTGCCTGGCGCAGGGTGGTGGTGCCTCTGCTCAGCTGCCAGGATGCCTCTGAATAATGAACGGCCCCCAGCTGAAGGGCTTGATGCTGCCCGCTCTGATCGGCCAAGGGGAGCTGGGACAGCTTCAAGTGACAAAGCGAAAGAGCTCCACTTCAGGCCGAAAAAAGAGTCATGTGCTGAATTCTCCAGTGAGAACAAATCTGTCTCTGAAGTCCCCAAGAAGGCAGGGGACAGGAATGCTAGCTTTGCCACCACAATCACAGCCACCGTGGCGATCAGCACTTTGAGATGGAGACCTGTTCAGTGTGGGTAGCTGTGTGCACTTCTAGGCGTTCACTGGGAGTCTCACAGTGCTTCCCCTCGGATAAGGGGAATGCTGTTCCAGTTTCCTGTAACAGATCAGCACAGTGTTAGTGTCTTAAAACAGAAAAAAATCTAATTTTTTTCTAAAGGTGGGAAGTCCACACACAGTCTGTGTGGGCTGAAGTCAGGGTGTCGGCAGGGCTGGCTGGCTCCCTCCAGGGGTGCAGGAAAGACTCCGTCCTTTGGCCTTTGGAGCTTCTAGGGATGCCCAGTCCTCCCCTGCGGCTCCTGGGGTGTCCAAGGAGTTGCCTCCAAATCTCTCCCTGATCTGTGACCTGTATCTTGCTTCTGTGACCATGACTGTCCCCATGACAGGTGGCTGGTGACTGTGCTAACTGTGCTGCCTCCACCTGCTGAGCTGAACCCCACCTGCTGTGGTCCTCCCGCCTTTGCCGGAGGCATTCACAGGCTGTGGCACAGACTGGAACATCTATGGAGGGTGGTCCTGGGTCCTGCACACGCACAAAACAGATGGATTTGCTCACCCCGGTTCCTGCACACACATCTTGTTCCGCTCTGGGGTTTGGTGTCCTTTAATCTTAACTCGATAGACAAACATGGGCAGAGCTGACATTCCATGAAAGAGCTCCGTGCTCAGCAGTGTGGCTGTGAATGGTTCAGACAGCTCGAGCTCAAGGTTAGTGGTCTATTACTGGAGACGCCGCTGAACAAGTGGGCCAGAATGCCTGCCCTTGGGGATCCTGGTTCCAAGGTGGTTCCCTTAATGTTGATGTCATATCCCAGTTCAAAAGGCGGGGCACTGTTTTCTTCAGAGACCTACTGACAGTTGAGCAGGTCTATTAATTTTAAGCAAAAGATACATCGGTGTAATCACCTTGGAAAACACTTCGGTTTTACGAGGTGGAGCCATGCACGCCCATCGGCTCTGTTCTGGGTGTTCACCAGGCAGAAATGCGTGTGCAGCGTCCTGGGCTTGTGCGCCTGCGTTCACACCAGCAGTGCACACAGGAAGCTCCCGATATCATCCACGGCCGAGTGGGCGGACATAGAGGGTGGGATTTGTACAGCCAGTGCTGCAGGCCCGGAGCCAGGGCCTAGCGAAAGCAGGCAGGCAGACACGCACTGTGCTTTCTGCATGGCCACAGCTCGTGACATCCGCAGACAGCAGAGCTTAGCACAGGCCAGCACTGGGGAGCAGGTTTGCCCGGGGACTGCGGGGCATGGGAAGGCTTTGGGTGCTGCATGATGCTTTCATAAGTGTACCACTTTAAATTAACTCGGCTACAGTGGGCCTCGGTTCACAAACGCTTTTCTTTACAAACACTTTGGTTCACAAACAGAAGCGTTTGGTACAGTTTCTTTCTTTGCAAACTCTGCATCCAGTAACAAGGACCTCGGCCACCCTGCTCCCGCAAACACAAGCGTGAACATCTCTGCCAGAATCCAGAATCGTAGAACAAATTCAGTTCATGAACCGAGGTACCACTGTATTCCCTCATGATTTGTT